GGAGGACACCCAGATTGCGCACCCTCTCCGAGGGAGCCAAAGTTTCGCCCCCTATAGTCAGCGACGGAGTCAACTGACTATGCCGAGGCGCCGGCAGCCACAGCCACTCGGTCTTGGAAGGGTTGAGCCTGAGTCTGTTTCTCCCCATCCAGACCCTTACGGCCTCCAGGCACCGGGCCATCACGTCAAGGGCATCATTACAGGTCAAATAAAATATTCAGAATGAACATCCCTTTGAATTAGCCTGATATCATCAGGCTGGATAGGAAAGAGAACAGGAAGGATGCTGGATTAAAATAAAATAAAAATAAAAATGTAAATTTTAATTTTAATTTTTAAAATTTAAAATTAAAAGCCACAATGTTCCATTTAGAAATGCTGAATTCAAATTTGCTTCATATACAAAATTTACAAAAACTGTCAAAACATGGTGATACACACACAAAAATGGCATTTGCTCTTACAGAAAATATTGAGTTTGCACTAGGATGTATGCAAAGCAGCCTGATCCCCAGTGTATCAGGTCATTATTATGCTAAATAATAAATTATGCTGTTTATATATGCAGTAGCTTCAGGTAGCTTTAGACATCAAGGAAAAGCAATGTTTATACAGGAGGATTGGTGGTAATGCAGAGTTTTGCAAATATGAGCATGTTACAAGTGTGATCTTTTGAGTCATAAATTGGACAGATACAGATGTGAATAAAATGTTCACTTAAGATAAAGGTTTGAATTTCAAGATAAAACATTTCCACTTAGAAAAGGAAATAGTTACAGAAAATAATAAAACAAAGATTAAAAGAATTTAAATCTGAGATAGAAAATAATTGTATTTTACATTCAATATTTAGCTTGTAGTATTTTTTCTAATTATCAAATGAACAGCCAGAAATTAATCACATGCATTCTAGAAAAACATCTTTCACAGAGATTCCTCCATTTTTTAAATCCTCATCATATATTTAATAGTAATTCCTTATCCTGGTCTTCAAAATCTTCCATACTCCTTTTTGCTTCGTCTGTTATATGTCCTTGAGCATGACTTCTTTTTACCACTGATCATCTGTCTAGAGTGGCCATTTTCTCACAAAGCTAGTTTTATTATTTAGTTTCAAACAGATTTCTTTGAATCTCTCTTCAATAATCTGTTTTAGGTTCTTGGAATTTTCCTCAAAATTAATCTCTTCTGGTTCTGAATGCTTTGGAATAAACTATTATTTTGATAACCTACTGTAAAGAAACCTAGTACATGTAAATGCATTTTCCCTAGTTTGTGTTTCCTTTTGTGTTTTCTTTTGTATTTCCTTTGTCAAATAACAGATCATTACCTCCATAGGGGGAAAAAAACTTTTTTGTAAAAGCCATGCCAACTGGTTGCATCATATGTTGACCACTGTCAACTGCCCCAACTTGGTTAGTTGAGAAGACAGATTCTTGAATCCATTGTTAGCAAAAATATAATTTACTAAAGCCAAGTGGTTACAGAAGAAGCAAAGCTGGATCTGGGATTTTCACGCCCAAAGCATATGGTTAATTTTTCCCTTGTTCCCACCTCCCCCCCCCCCAGTTACCTTTGAGTGTCTGATTAGGTGTTAACAAATTGTTTGGGTAACAGTCTTCACGGGTTGGATGGTTCTGCATTCCATAATGTGACTTTGAAACGGCTGGTGGCTCTCATGGGACAGCATAATGCCTAATTTCAATTCCTCTGAGGCAACCCCCCCATTTTCCTCCCCCTTTATCCTCCCCCTGCTGAGTATGGCGGGCTGGTAGCAAGCAATGCATGGCATAGCAGAATAGTGGTCCTGCCATTCTGTCCCTCCTGAAAATGGCTAGCCCTAAATGAAAGAAAACAAGTAAGGATTAGTCAGTAGACTTATTTGAGTTTGTTAGGGTATTTGTTATGAAATTGGCAGGTGAGGCGAGTTAAGCTCAAATGGTGACCATCAATCCACTCTGTCCGAAGGGCAAAAAATCCTTCGCTATCTGCGCTGCTTCGTGAATCAGAAATGGGACAATGGGGCAGACTACCTTGCAGTAGCCAGGCTTGCTTTCAACAACTCGCAGCACACCTCCATGCTGATGACACCTTTCCTGGCCAATGTTGGGTTTCATCCTCGCTTTTTCCCCTTACACAGCTCAATTTGCCAGTTCCTACAGCTAGTGATTATCTTGCCAATTTACAAGCTGTTTATCAGTTGGTGCAACGGCAACTGGATAAAGCCAAGGCGGATTATAAAAAAGTCACTGATCAGTCTTGGCATGATATGCCAACTTTGGCTGTGAGAGATCAGGACTGGCTGTCAACCAGGCACCTTCTGTCAGACTGTCCTGTCAAGAAATTGGATCACTGGTACCTAGTCCCTTTCCCCATCGAAGCTGTCATTAACCCACGCTCACTAAAAGTACATCCAGTCTTCTACCGGTCCCTCGTTTCAGAACAACTGGCCTGTCTGCTCCACCGACCAGAACATCCTCCACCTGAACCACATGACAGAGACAGCTCTTTTGAGTACGAGGTCACCATCCAAGACTCACACTGGCTGAAAGGCTGGTTCCAGTTCCTGATCGAGTGGGAGGACTATGGAGTTTACATGGGAGGATGCGACCATTGTGCATGCGTTCCACGATCAATTCTCTTCATGGTCTCAAACAGATTCGTCTGACCCGGGGAAAGGGTCCTGTGGTGAGGGATAGTGTTGTGATCCGTTGGCTGCCAACAGAGCTAGCAACAGAGTCAGATGAGGGGGAGGGGGAGCCTGGGTCAACTTTGGAGCCTTTGGAAAGTTCTGATGAGGAAGCAGAATCAGAGGCAGATGCAGAGCCAGGGCCATCTGTCTGTGCCCAGGCGGAGAGGCAGCTGTCTTCGGGGTCTGAACTGAGTGAGGGGGAGGAATAGAAGGGGCCTGTCCCAGATGCGCATATGCGTAGAGAGGAGAGCAACAGAAGGCAATAAGCCGGCTCTCAGGGAAAAGAAGACGTAGATGTTAGCCAGTCCCTCCTTGCTGGGAAATAAATAGTAGAGGTTTGGGAGTGGCCTGTTGTTGCAGACAACCGTTCATTTTCCCGGGTACATCAAGCAAGTTGGATTTCTTTGCTAGAATCAGTTGGGACTATTTGCTCTGTATTTGAGGTGCCAACTGAGTCTCCCTGCTGGGAACTAATAGGTAGTGAATTTGCTCAGCCAGTGTGAACAGGGACTGTTTCTGCTTGGATTAATCCTTGAAAGACTTTCTGTCTGGAGTTCTCAAGTGAACAGACTGTTCCTGCCCTGTGTCAGAATGGGAAAAAACTTTCCTTTGTGACTACTTCTTTTTGGTTTTGTCTATCCAATGTGAACAAAGATTGTTCCTGTCCTGTTTTAATAAGGTTTGTTTTACTCATGAGTAAGCAGTTTCTCATCACTTGCAAAAGCTGAGTTAGAATAATATGTTTGTTGGTTTGTTTATTTGTGAAAATTTATATGGCCACCCAATTCATTCATTACTCAGAGTGGCTTATAAAGATAAAAACTCAATATAAAAACAATAACAAGCAATAACTCCTCCCCCATTCTCCTGGTGACAACAATCAATTAAATAAGCCACTAGATGGACTCCATTCCATTCTTGGGCCCCCAGACCTATTGGTAGCACCAGATTTTTAGGGCCTTATGAAAAAATGTCAAGTGGGGTTAATTTTATCTCTATGGGGATGATGTTCCATAGGAGGGACCCACCATGGAGAAGGCCCTTCTTCTTTGTCCTGTTAGATGGACCTTCTTTGTCCTGTTAGATGGACCTTCTTTGTCCTGTTAGATGGACCTCAGCAAAGGGGACCCATAGCATTCCCTGCTTCCCACTCTAGTGGGTTGGATGAATGTTATAAGTTGGTCTTTCAAATAACCATGTAGGACTTTAAAGGTAACAACCAGCACCCTGAATTGGACCCAGAAGCAAATCAGCAGCTAATGCAGCTCTCATAGGAGAGATGACACTTGTGCACATCTAGGCCTGCACAAAGCCATGTGGATCGCTGAATTTTGAACCAATTAAAGCTTCTGGATAACTTTCAAGGGCAGCCCCATGTAGAGTACGTTGCAATAGTTAATGATGGGAGGTGACTAGGGCATGAGTGACTGTAAGCAAGCATTGTTGTCTCACGAAAGGGTTTCAATGGCACATAATCTGCAGTTGTGCACAGGCTCTCCTGGCCATAACTGCCACCTGCTCTTCAAGCAGGAGTCTAAGAAGATTTTGCGGACTGGATCTCTCTGGGGCACTGCCACCCATCCAAGATCACCCATCCAATGTTAATGTTGCTAATTATTCAAATAATGTAACACAAAAAAAAAATGCAAAATTTAAAATATTTTCTTTAAGAATCATATTTTTTAAATGCAAGGTAAGATGAAAATTCTGAAGCATATAAGGGAAAAATGTCTTAAGACAGACTGTGTTTCACACTGAAGAGTGCTTGAAAATACTTACCAACAATGTAAGTTGAGGATAGTTTTTTCAGAAGGAAGGTGGGCATTGGCTGGTAACAAAGACCTTGCCATTAGATTCAGAAGCTGGACCTCTTAGATAAGCCAGTAGATCAGATGCAGGGATTTCTTGCAGTCTCTAGGTGACAACAAACTGCAAATTTGTGATGGTTTTGCGCTAAATAATTATATTGATTTCTTTTAATTTTCTGTGCTCAGATATATTCCCAGGATGCCTACCTGAAAGGCAGTGAAGCTTAAAATAATAATCTTCTTTATATTCCTGAGCCTCCATCAAAAAGTTATCCTCAGTTAATGTATCCTAGCCCTTTATTGACATCAGCACAACTTGAAATGGCCTACTGGAAGGAAATACGTGCCTTCAGGTTACGAATAGATTTTTTTTTTGTATAATTTGCAATTGTTTTTCATGGCTTTCTAATAGCTAGTCATTTGAAAGAAATAATAAATGTTCTTTTATGGTGGTGATGGAGACAATTTTTGTGTGAAAACCCATGTCTTTAGAATGTAATAATCCTTGTAAATCTGAGTAGATGAGATCATTTCTGAAGATGCTGGGAGGGAGGAGCTTCCTGGTATCTCCTTTGATGTCACCCAATATCCCAGCTCCATCTTTTTTTAAAGTGTCTTTAATACTGAAACCTGCCCACTTGTGTCACCTTTGGACCCAGACTTGGAGGTTTCTGTCCCTTTGGCTAGTGCCTGCCAGCCTAGTAGAGAACGTAGGTAAGCGTGAATGAATGTTTGTGTGCATGTGTGAAAGAGCAAATATATACATTGTAATCAGTAAAGTTTACTATTATTTTAAATTTAACCTGTCTCCATGTATTCTAAAGAACCATTTGTGCCTCAGTGTTCAGCTGAAAGTTATTTCAATGTGGCTGTTTTCCAGGGCTGTGTGTGAACATAAGCCAAACCTGAGAGCACACATGTAACATTTTTAATGGTGTCAGAAATGGGATACATGGATTAGACCTTTGAATGTATTTGAGTGATCAGTAATGCCTTTCTGGAAATTTGGGGATGCTCAGCAAAAGGGTGCTTTGCATTTCCTGCCTTCTTGGCGACAGCTCCACTGGAGAACCTGAGGAGGGGGAAATGGGTTTGATATATCGTGAAGTGATGGAGAAAGAAATTGGGATTGCCTATTGGTGATTTGCAGGAGAAAATGAAGTCAGTGTATTCAGGGAGAGATGTTAAGGTAGAATTTGGGGAGCTGTACAAATTAAGAGGAGGAATGAAATAAAACTATGTACCTGGAGTGTTTGCAGTAGTATTGAGAGTTGGGCTGACTCAAAGGAATCAGCTCCTCAGGCAGTTGTGATTGGAGAACTCCTCTTTAAAAGGCGACTTGGAGCAACTCAAAAATAATCACCATTTTTTGCAGGCTGATTAACAGCTACAAAAGAGCCAAATGGTGGAACTAAAAGAGATCTTGGCTCAATTGAAGGATAATGTAGGAAGGGAAGAGAAATGGTAACAAAAGCATGCTGTGCAAAAATTAAAAATCTTATGTAGACCTACAGTATACTAGGAATAAGCACCTAGCATTCTCTTGTGGAAAATGTATTAAAGTAGGGGAACTGCACAGATAAATAAAGCAACAATCTTACCAAATTGCCTGTTTAATAGGCCAGATCTTGATGAAACTCCAGGTTTTCTTTTTTATAGGAAGGAGCTTTTTGGAGAATTATGTAGTAAGGTTCCTTGGGCTTTAACAGCAGTAGTGGTAACCCAAGCAAGGCATAAAAATGCCCAGAACCAGCAATGGGAAGAGTGGGAATAAATAGTTACTCATATTTCTTTAACAGGAAGCGAGCAGAAATGGATTGTTATTGATCTAGGGGCCCTAAGCCCTGATCCCCCTCTAATGGACCTAAAGGCTACATCAACTCAGATTCCAATACTTTTCTGACCAAGAACCTGTTAAGAATGTTGGAGAGGAAAGTAAAAAATGTGATGGAGCTGCAAGTAGTGAAAGAAAGCTGGGAAAGAAGAGGAAAAGACAAGAATAGGAATTTGTGGAGCAGCCAGGAACAGAAAGTGGAGAAGATGAGCATGTGCAAATGTGGCTAAAGGTGAGAGATTTGGAAGAAAACATGAAGATGGGGTGGGGCTTCTATTATAAGTTTGAAGGAGTGGGTGGAGCAGTTAGAAAGAAATGATCAAGGAAAGTATTGGAAACCAAGTATAAGATTCTGAAGAAATTGCAATCTCAGACTTCTGCTTAGTCAATTTCTAAGGCTGCTTCATTGCTGTGGTAAATAAATATATGGGTCTTGACTGGAGGTATGGGGGAGGGGAATTGGAGAGATTCTAAAGACATGAGGAATTCTGATCTATCCACAATGATCCTAAGCAAGCTCTGTTAGATACTGTACTGGAGCTGAAACTTTATTAAACACTTTCCTTTGGGTAAGCAAATCTCTATTGCACTACTATCTGCCTTACAGACCTCTGACTTTGTTCCAGAGACTAACCAAACCCATCATGGCCAGCATGGGGACACATATTAGTGCACAGGTAGAGATCACCAGGTCCCTTGCAGCCCCCCCCCAAACAATACTCCAAACCAAAGGCTGTTGAAACAGGGATCACAGAAAATAGCTGCAACTTAGAGAAGGAAGATATTTTAAATAAATCAGTAAATCTTTTTAATAGCCGGCCCATTCTGAAATCAGATGGGAGAATTTACAGTCTAGAGAATTTATCCACACCTGATCTGCTTTCTGCCTCCATTCTTGAATAAAAGCATGAATTTTGGCTTTCGGTTTGACTTATCTAAAACTTCATGCCCCAGACAAAGACATCTGGTTTACTGGTGCAAGGACAGATCCCAAAATATCTCCTGTGTAGCTGTTTCTACCAGAGATTTAAATTTAGGGGCTTGTCAAATTCTTACTGCATACAAGTGGCAGAACTACAGATTTCTTGATAGGCACATGCCTTGGTATAGGTAACTTAATTAAGATTATTTTGGACTTATATAAAATGACCCATGAAGGAGCAGTGAAAACCTTGACAAAGGAACATCAAGTTGTAATGTGGCCCAATCAGCGGATCCCGGTTCAGAGGGGGAGGAGGAGTTGGAACTGGGACTATCCAATGGGGGAAGGCATGATCCCCTCCAAACAAGTGGAGAATTCAGGGGCTGAGGACGAGGTAGCCCCAGGGCTGGCTGGCAGTGGGGAGGGGGCAGCCGACCAAACAGAGAGCTGCCTGCAGGAATGTAGCAGTTGCAGAGAGCCAGCAGAGATGACAGACTCCAGATCACCTCTGATGAGGAAAAGCTGCCTCCCGCATCCGATTTGCTGATGAGGAGAGCAGAGCAGAGGGAGACACAAAGGAAGTCAGAGAGACTGTGTCAACCATCCAAATAGTGAACTCAAAATCAAGGAATCTTCAAGGCTCTG